AATTTTGTCTTTTGTGGTTCAGCAGGACTCAGAAATATCTGCAACCCAGAGAGAGACAGACTCACAGGAAACAGACTGAAAATTAAAGTATAAGAAACCAGCAAAAGGATGGATGGATGGATGGATGGATGGATGGATGGATGGATGGATGGATGGAAGGATGATGGATGGATGATGGATGGATGGATGGAAGGATGGATGGATGGAGAATGGATGGACGGACAGACGGAAGTGAAGTTGTGTCCATTCTAGGGATGCAGGATCTATTGATGTTGGCATCCATATCGGCTGTTATTCGTCATTTTTTATACATTAATGTTTTTATTCCCTTTATAAATAAAGCACTAAAGGCAGCCATCTGTCTAGATCTATGAATATCAGAGTACTGTGGTTCTCTTGTGTTCTCAACAATAGGAAAGCATTCAATAAATAGATGTTTGAGCTCATTTTTGGAATGAGGCGTTTTAGTTAGATTACCAAACAGGAAAAAAAAATACTTTTCCGTTTTATTACATCTTATTATTGACAAAAAATCCTGGATACAATTAAATTAGTTAATTGTCACGTTTTATGAATTTTGTGATCATAATATTAACAACATATTAATGCTGCTTGAAAGGCGCATCAGGCGTTTTTGATCAGGCATCTCGGTGGCTACCTAAGGTCTAGCCAATTCTCTTATAGTCAGAAAAAACTATAACTTCTGAAAAAACGCGGATTAAAAACACTTTACTGCTAAATATGTAGGAAAACTATTTAATGCAAACATGAAAATGACCTTAAAACTGAAGCGGATAAACCAAACATGGAGCTTTAGCCGCGTTAGCATTAGCGGCTAACGCTGAGCGCTAGCATTAGCGGCCTGGATTTTGGAACCAACCTCGCATATCGAGTGGTTATTAATGATGATTAACCGCGTTATATGTAGCAATGAATCGTTTCAGGTCATAAAGTTAATGATTCGGTGGGTCTGAAACATGCTAGCTGTCTGCATAATGAAGCACTTTGAATGATTCTGTAGCTAACTGCTAGCTTCCTGTAGCCATAGAGCCACAGCAGAGCAGCAATGCGCCAATTCAGCTAATTATTTTAATCATTAGATGGTTCATGCTAAACTAAAAATGTCCCTCAGAGAACAGAAAGGAACAAACAACAAAAACAAACAGTTTGCTAACAGCGGATAGGCTTAGCTTACCGCCTTGGTCCATGATCCAGCCAGAGCGCAATGCATTATGGGATACCACCACCCGGAGGGGAAATAAAATGAGAGAAAAGTTTCAATAAAATGTTTTTCTTTTTAATTAAAAATGCACATTGTTAGACAAATATTGCCGCTAAGTCTGCAGGTGGTTATGAAGGAGATCAGAATAAATGGAGGAAATAATAATAATAATAATTATTAAAAAAAATTACAGATAATAAAAAAAAATTGAAAGCATGTAGAGATAATTAAATATGTTTCATACATCAATAATAAAACCGCAGTTTATCTAACATGTATTTTATTAGAGAAATGTTCGTCTAAAAGTGTTGGAGACAATAATAAGTACCGCATTCTGCCACAAGATGGCGGTGATGCGCAGCCAGCAGCTCAAACATCTGCAGCTTTAATCAGCTGATTTGATCCTGGTGATTTTTCACCTATTCACTATTTTAGATAAACAACAACAAAGCATCACCTGTCTGATGGCTGCTGGTCACATGACTGTAATAAACAGATCCGGATCATTAAGAGAACTTTTTAAGAATGAATTAAAGCTGTTTGCTGCAGTTCAGAAGAGAACTGCTGGTTTCACTCTATCAAAAGTACCAATGCATTAAATATAGAATATATAGAAACAGAAAAAATAAGATTCGAAAAAATAGAATAAGAATAGATAATAATCAAAAACTATTTAAATGACAAAATCTTTTAATATATTTCATATTATCAATTTTCAAAGTTTGACTTCTCAACTTTTCATTTACAATTTAGATTATTTGCTTGCAACAATAAAGCCCAAACTTTAAAACACTATTTGTAAAGATTGCATTTTTTTTTTTAATGCAAACAATTCAAAAAACAAACATGAAAATAAAAAATCTGTTCAAAATTTCTTTGATGAATTTTATTTCCCTCCATGATAGGAATTACAGTCTTAATGCTGTAAAGTGCATATTTGCACCATATATATTAATGCTCTGAGCTTCCATATCAATGCATGTTTATTTGTGCACTTGATCACTGCTGCACTTTAAGGAATGAAAGCTGCACGAAACAAAATGTTGCTTTGTATCCACTCTGTGTAGAGAAAATAAGAATAAAACATGCCTTATTCAAAGAAAGGGCCCAGCAGATTATTGCTTCCCCCATACTGCTCTGTTCGATTTATATATAAAAATATATAATAAAAAAAAAATAGTTTCATTAAAGTTTATGGAATAATTCATGTTATGGGACATTACAAAAAAAGGTAAAAAAAAGAGAAGATAGCAGAGACAGTTTGACCAAACTTCCTCTGTCTGCTTCATCAGCTACAAAGTGAGATTTAAAAAGAAGAGCACAACTGACTGATATAGATCTACAGACACAGCAGAGATTTTTTAAATGAATTTACAGAAATCAAATATGAAATATTTACTCTCAGGTTTTTGTCATTAACATGTTTTTCCAAACTTCTGCATTCCATTTTTTCAGATTTTGTTTCTGTAAAATATGTTCTTTGTTTGCAACAATAATGGAGCAAAATTAACTCCATATTGAGGGTGAAACTTTCCCTTTATTCTGGTTCTTGTACCAATCAAATAAAAACAAACAAAATAGCCAAACCTCAGTGGATCAATATAGATATATATAATCAATATAGATATATAGATCTAAGAGAGATAGATATATCTATTCTCTGGGTGCTGAAGGTCCACATTAGAGCATTAAGTTCAAGCACCATGTTGGACTCTGGCTGGGCTGCCCTCTGCCTTACAGACAAATTCCCTCCGAATGGCGCCCTCTGCAGGTGTTCCAGGGATGTTCCACCAGAAGGCGCTCCAGGGGACGAACCAGGACACCATGGCTCTGTTCGAAAACCTAGGACGTGTCCTCCAAGGACGCGGTCTACCTAGACTGGATCCTCCAAGGACGCGGTCTTCCTAGACTGGATCCTCCAAGGACGCGGTCTACCTAGACTGGATCCTCCAAGGACGCGGTCTTCCTAGACTGGATCCTCCAAGGACGCGGTCTACCTAGACTGGATCCTCCAAGGACGCGGTCTTCCTAGACTGGATCCTCCAAGGACGCGGTCTACCT